GCCGCTGTGACAGAGGGGAGGCCCAGAGAGGCAGTGGGTGCCAACAGCGGCGTCCTCAGGCAAAGCTCTGTCCATGCGGGAGCCGGGCGCTCCCTTCCCCAGACACACTGGGCCTTAGGGCCCGACCACAACCGCGTGGCCACCCCTAGCTGGTGCCTGCAGAGCCCTGCCCCCCAGGGCCCACCAGCACATCAGCGTCTCAGGGTGTGGGCCGTGTCTGCACGCCGTCGTCCCCATTCAGCTGGACACACGGATGGACAGACCATGGGCTTTCGCATGTGGGAGGCCTGGGCCTTCTCATGGCACCTGGCCTGCCCCTCCCAGCGCCCGCCCTGCGGCCCCGCATGGCCCTGGGTTTGGGGGTTTTGCCTAAGTCTCCCTCTCCTCCGTCACGCGATGGCCCCTTGGGGAGTGGTCATGAAGTGCGCCTCCTCCCGGGATGCCGTGTAGGTGCCCCTTCCAGGGGCCTTAAGGGAAGCGGGTGCCCCAATAGCCATTGGGGGTGTGAGGGGAGGACGGGTGTGGAGCCGTGTGATGGGTTTGCCAGGGAGCGCCTGCCTCCAGTCCACGCACCCTGCCACCCGTGTGCGTGCGCAGTGGGCGGGACTCGGAGGAGCCGTGGACTCTGCCCTGGCACCTCCCCACCCACGTCCCCCTACCTCTGCCAGGGCCTGTCCCCTGCGTGTGAGAACCTTCTCCCTGGGATCATGAGCCAGAGGGAACCACACCCAGAGCCAGACCTCGGACCCTGAGCCGAGTTCCCCTTTCTCTGCCCCAGGTCCCTGGCCCTCCCAGGCTGGATGGGCCCCCGGGACACCTTGTCCAGCCCTGAGCCCCTCTGGAAAGGCTCCTCCGCCCGGGCTGACCCAGTCACGGCCAGTGGCACAGACCTGGCTCGCTCGGCCTTCGCTCGGGGCCGGACACAGGCCGTGCAGGAGCGAGGCTGGGAGCGAGGAAGCTCTGGCCCAGGAGCCAGGAGTGCGCAGCCCGGCTCTGCCCTGCCCTCCGGCTGAGCCACACGTGAGCCCTGGGCCGGGGGGGAAGAGGCTGCCCCTGCCGCCGAGAGCCTGGCACCCTCAGGCGCACACAGGAGGGGGCCTGACCTTCCTTCCCGGTGACTGTCCCCGCAGCGGCACGTCTTCATTAGGGCACCAAGCGAATGACCACGTTACCACATTGTCAGCCGACAAGTAAATCTTATTATAAGAGGCTAATGACGCCGCAGAAGCCATTCTATTCATCCGTGTAGTCCTCTCGTCCCCGCTGACACCTCATTAGGGCTCCCGGGACACGGAGGACAAACACATTAATTTGGCAAATCGATGGCCATCCTTCAGGAGTAGGTTTCTGCGTGGCAGCCCGGTGCACGCAGAGCCACAAGGGACAGCGGGGCGAGGGTCAGACCCGGGATGAGGGCCCTCGCATGCACCAGGGTGGGGGGCAGGCACCCCGGGAGCCACCCACTGACGGCGTCCAGCAGCCACGCCCACCCACCTGCCCCATGGCCTCTCAGGGAGGCCAAGACCGGCTGTGACCTTGAGGGGTCACTGCCAACCCCTCCCTCTCCCCCTTTAAACTGGGGGCACGGAAGGAGGCCCCCCTGGGTGTTATGAGGACAGTGAGGATGAGCGTGGGCCCTGGCGAGCTGTCTGACCTCTCCTGCCTCAGTTTCCTCCTTTGTAAAATGGGGTACATGCTGTCCTGCTGCTCTGTACCACCTGGGTCCAGGGCAAGACTGGTGGGGGGGGATGGGGAGGGAGGGGACAAGATGTCTGCCCGAGGGGACCCCACCTCATCCAGCTGGACAGACAGCGGCTGCCCCAGGCTCCTGACTGGGAGCAGGGCCAGGCTCTCGGAGGCTGGAGGCGGGAGCCAGGCAGTTTCAAGGCCCACCCGCCCATGACCCAGGCCCACCTCACTGTGTGTCTACATTTTATTCTTTCACTCGACAGAATAGAATGTTTGCATTTCAGAGCCGGCGCGACGGCTCCTGTCCCTGTCCCTGCGCGGATGCAGGTTCTCCGAGGGCCGCAGCTGGGTCCCCAGGAGGGGTCATTTGGCAAGGTCACTCCAGGACGGGGAGGGCCCAACCGTCCACTGGCCCCGCGGCCGGGACCCTCCTCTGCTCTCTTTGGTTTCTCAGCAACAGGCC